TGGAGAACTGGATTGAGATAGAAATTAAAGAATAATGTTTTGAATTTTAACCTGAGAGTAAACAAATAAATTATTTGGTATTGCTCTGTTCTCAGAAAAAAGCACAAGAGATTGAGAAAAAATATTTATGATTATATATGACACAAAGACTTGACATCCAAAATATAAGGAACTTATTTTCTAAGTCACAACAGTAGTACCTAGTTCACAATGCATAAACGGTCCAAAAGAGAAAACACTTGAAAAATGCCTAACTTCACTGATAATCAAAGAGATGCAAAGGAAAACAACTCTGATGTACCACCTCATATACATCAGATTAGCAAAAAAAAGAGTAACAATAGTAAAAAGCATAAGGGGTGGTAGAGATGCAGGTTCATTGCTGGTAGAATTGCAAACCTATGGAATCATTTTGGAAAGCCCTCAGAAATTATAAAATGCTTTTGCTTTTTTATAGAGCAAAATAAAATCATAAGGAAATTGATATGGACAAAACAAAGTGGCAAGATTATCAAGTGATATACCAAAAAGGCACACTGATGGGATTTTAAGGGGAAAAAGATGCCTGGGGGAGTAGTCCAGCAGAAGAAGCGAATGACAATCTGTGCTTTGGAGCCTAAGTGATAGAATGATGCCATCTACCACTGACAGAAAAGACAAGTAGGAAGGGGCAAATGGAGAAAGATATTCTATTTCAGTCATGTTGGGTTTGACCCATAGGAAGAAGATGGAAATCTCTGAATCATTCCCAGAGATAAAAATTGCAGCTGCAAAAGTTGGTTAGGTAAGTCAAATAAATAGAATTTAGTGCAAATGAAAAAAATAATTTTTATTTTTTATTTTATTTTTATTTAATAAAATAAATTTAATAAAATTTATTTCTTTTTTTTTGTACACCTGCAAAAGCAGCTACTAATATTAAAGTCGAGGTTATCATTTCATTAAGCACTAATGAATGCAAGTGTTTATTAAGGGATTTCTAACAATTCATTCATGGGATTTTAAAAAACTAAGTAAAAAAAAAAACAAGCAATGTTTGGAGCAGCTAGGTGGCGTAGTGGATAGAGCACTGGCCCTGGATTCAGGAGGACCTGAGTTCAAATCCGGCCTCACACATAACACTTACTAGCTGTGTGACCCTGGGCAAGTCACTTAACCCCACTGCCTAGCCAAAAAAAAAAAAAAAAGCAATGTTTGAATGATTACCCTTAGAACTAAAATTTGTTCTAAAGGTAAGAATACTGCCCACCCATACTTTATCTCCAGTTAATAATCCCATTATTATCATTATGTGCAAAAGCACAACACTGTATCTTAAGAACTTAAGTTCCAATTGTTATAGATGGCTCTATGACTAAAAAATGAGTTGCATACTGTATTTCTTTCAAAAGGAAGAAAAGCAATACTATTGTGCTGTAAGAAATAACAAGGGGGGGGGTTGGTTTCAGAGAAATCTGGGAAGATCTATATGAAATGATGCAATGTGAAGTGAACAGAACCAGAACATCGTACACAGTAATAGCAATGCTGTAAGATGATCAACTGTGAATGACTTAGCTACTCTGATCAATACAATGATCCAAAACAATTCCAAATGACTCACGATGAAAAATGCTATCCACCTTTGGACAGAGAACTGATGGACTCTGAGTGCAGACTGAAGCGTATTTTTTTTCCTTTATTTTTTTCTTGCTTTTTTTCCCCCTTGGAACATAGCTAATGCAGAAACATGTTTTGCATGACTTCATGGGTATTATATTTCTTGCCTTCTCAATGGGTGGGGGTAAAGAATTTGGAACTGAAAATAAGTAATTTTTTAAACAAACAAAAGAAAAAAAGGCATGCAGCAAAAAGAGTTGAATTTGAAGTCAGAGGACCTGGTTTCAAATCCCAGTTCTGCTACTTATTACCTGTGTGATCTTGGGAAAGTAACTAACCTCTCTGGACTTCAGTTTTCTCATAGATTTATGAGAAAAGAGATCACAAATAGCTAATCCAATCTCTTCTGAACAGAAGAGGTACAGAAAAAGTAAAGTGACCTGCCTGAGGTCACACAAACTAAGTCAGGAGTTGAACCACCATGCTCCACACAACAGGATATGCCCATCCACATTCTCTAATCAGATCCATATGCTCCAGATAGGAGATAAATGGTACAGAGATGATGCCAACAGCTTAAGAGGGTAAAATTTCATCAGTGTGGACATCTCTTCCGCTGCCCCAGCTCACTGGATGCTCCACACCTTAGTGCAAGGGTTCATAACCTGAGGTCTGTGAATTCGTGGCTTTTTTAATATTTTGGTAACTATTTCACTATAAATGGGACTCCTTTGCATCCTATGTATTTTATTTTATGCTTTTAAAAATATTCTGAGAAGGGGCTTCACTACACTGCCAAAGGGGTACAGGACACAAAAAAGGTTAAGGCCCTTTGTATTAGTGCTATGACCAAAATCATTTGCTAACTAACTTCTAGCAGGTAGATGGCAAAATGGATAGAGCACTGCACTTGGGGTCAGGAACACCTGAGTTTGAATCCTGCCTAAGACACTTAGTAGCTGTGTGACCCTGGACAAGTCACTCATCCCCCTTCAGTCTTGCATTCATCACCATAAAATGAGGATAACAGTACCTGCCTTCCAGGGTGTTGTGAAGATCAAATGAGATAACGGAGGTAAAATGCTTTGCAAACCTTAAAGTGCTATTGAGATACTAGCTGTGATCATCATCATTTACCCAAGTTCTCAGACATGAAGATGCTGAGGATCACGTGAGGTGTTTGGCCCAATGGTGGCAGGTGCCTCAACCTGAGTCGGAATTTGACTTCATCTCTAGGACCCCTTAATAATAACTCCCATTTCTATCGTGCTCGAAGTTTTGTAAGACACTTAACACATATCAACTTATTTGATCCTGGTTAACAACCCTGTGACTAAGGCCCTTCCAGTTCTAAATCTAGGATCCTGTGAAAGAAGGGGAGTTTCTCTTTTTGATCGGTGAAAAAGAGAATCAACTCCCCCAGAAGCCTAAATTTCTAAGATTTAAATTTTTGAAATATTTATACAAATTTAGTTAGAATTTCTCAATGACAAAAGAATGTTTTTAAAGTTTTTTCCAATTTGGTTAAACAGTACATTTAAGAAAACTTAAATCCAACAGATTATTAAGAGAGTATACATATTCTAATTTCAGAAGAGGGAAAGCATTACTGGATATAATTAGAGTCTAGTCTAATATTATAAACACTCACATTTACACAACAGCGAATACTGGTGGTAGCTTTCCCTTACAACTACATGTGAAAATGCTAAATAAACTCCATGAGATAAGCAAGGTAAAAAAAAAAGTGTCATTTCTAAGAGGACCCATCAGGAAAGCATTCAATGTAACTGCTCTCTTGGGAAACTTTGTAAGACCTTACTGTGAATGAGGGACAAGTTGTGGGCAGTGGGAGGATATTGGCACCTGAACTGCAATGTTACAACAATATATTTGCATTTGCTAACAAAGGCTATACCCAAGCTGTACCAGCATCTTCATCTAATCTGAAACAAAAGACATTTTATATATGCATGGTTTGGGGACAAGGATAGGACCAGGGGAGAAATGAATGAAAGGAAAAGAACTCAGCAAGTGATAAGCCTCCTAAAGGCAGTGTGGCAGTGTGGCAAGCATACTGTAGCTGGAGTCAGAAGACATGATTGTAAATTCTGGCTCTTCTACCTAGAATGTGTGAGACTCAGGATCTCCACTGTCTCATCTCCAAGATCTCTTCTAGCTCCAATTCTACCGAATAATTCTTTGCATATTAGGTGATTCAAAAACCCTTATGTACTTTCGCTTAGCCTGTCTCAGTTTCCTCATCTGTAAAACAGGGATAATAATAGCACCTACTTTCCAAGGTTGTTGTGGGAATCAAATGAAATAACATGTCAAGCACTTAGCAAATCTTAACGTGCCCTAACATGGGAGCTATTATAATTATTATTTCTACATAATTCTCATCTATGGTCCTCAAGGTCTTTGACTCACCCCATATAACACACATAAGTCATTAGATTATATAATAAATTAACAAGAATGTCTACAACAAGTATCAGAAATTTATAAGATCCATTAACTAAAATGGAGCAAAATAAGTAAGTATACCCCTTGCTTTATCTGGCCTCACAGCTCATGTTAAAGCAAAGATCTGGGGTTCAGGGAATTGCAAGAAATTGGTACTAAGGAAGCTGGCACAAACAGGAGCTTTATTGTTATGAGGTGCAGCAAGAAGGCATAACATCAAAAAAAGCGCGCGCACACACACACACTCTCTCTCTATGGCAATATAGAATGAGATTTGTCCCCATGATGCAAGAAGCTCTCTGAATACTAGAGGGAGTGAGTCCTATCAAAGGAAATACATGCTGAAAGTTGGGGTTTAGGTAGAGAAGTTTTATGCCCTCAAACTGGGCTTGGTGGAGAATAGGTAATCAGTGCCAGATGTGGGAGAGGGCATTCCTAATCAGACCCAGATGTGGTGAAGTTCTTAGGGTCACTCATTGACACCAGGTTCAGGTGAGGCTCAGGTAGGGGTGTTTCTTTAAAGAGACCAGAAACTGGGACAGGGTTTGAGTTGGCCACCTGAGGCAGCAGAAGGAGTAGCTTACAGGCCACTGCAAATGGCCAGGAGTTTTATCCAGTCAGAAGCTGCAAAGATTTACACAAGGTTAAAATAGGTCAAAACAATGGAAAAATACTAACTTGTCTGTCATTGCCTATATGCTTTATGGACATTAGGACCACTTAGCCTAAATGACTCCATATTAGAGTCCTATCATTATAACTATAACATCAAACAATACAAAAATTACAATTATTACACTCTTGAATTATCAGCTTTAGATTAGGTTATCAGATCCAAGAGACACTTGAAATTAAGATGAAAAGCAAAGTGCCATCAAGGGAATCATATTTTGTACGTCTGCTGATAAGGAGAAAAGAAAGAAAAAACCTACCTGCCACTCAAATTCACTGTCTGACCAGTCCCAGTAAGTGCTAATAGAAGAAGAGACATCACTGCAGACACTTCCCTCGGGGAATAAATCAAAAGATGTGAACTCCTGGTCATCTAGCAGGGAATAACAATCATCCTGGTCACCGACAGAAACTGATGAAAAGAGCTCCTCACTGCATTCAGAGCTCGCCACACTGGTTCCGCAGGAAGTTAGGTTCCATCTGTATAAAACCCAACAGAGAGCAAATGAGTAACAATAGCCATTTACAACAAAAGGGGTAATGCTTGAATTCAAAATCCAACATGCACGCACATGTGCGTGCTCACAAATGTGAACTGAAGACATGGGCTGGATGTGGAGGCTAAGGTTGGCACCCTCAAGGAAAAATTTATCTCAGAGTTTAAAGGGGGACCCAAACAAGAAGGGCAGTAATAGAACTATTGGGTTCAATTTAATTGATTCTTTAAAAAACAGACTATTATGTAATATAGTCATGGTGAAGTCATATACAATTCTCTTTCTGATCTTTTTTTATATAAGGAAATACTTGTGTTTGTTGATGTTTGTGAAATTCATAATAAAAACACAAACAAAAAGAATTTATCTCCTTTATAAAAGGTTCATAACTAAAAAGTGAACATGGTTTCTAAAAGTGCTTGGGTGGAAAAAAATTTATATATGCAAAAACATAAACCCAATTAAACATAAGCCCAATTGCTTTGCTACCTGTGAATTTAGAAGAATATTATGATCCCCACATTTTAACAACTGTACACATTACACATGGAGGGGAAACTGAGGTATGCAGTGATTGAGAATTCTGCCTAAAATCAAGCAAATCATGGAATCATACATAGCCTGTCAGTTAGAAAGGGGCCTTAAAGGCCATTGAGTCCAACCATCTCATTTTAAAAATGAGAAAATTAAATCAGAGAAAGATGAGCCTCCCCAAGTAATTGGTCAGTAGCAGGACGAGGCCTAGAGCCCAAGTCTTCTGGCTCCCAATGTATTATTTCACTAAATATGATGCGATCTCAAAGAAAAAAACAATGAATTCCATGCCCCTAGTTTTCAAAAACTTTTGTACAAAAACAATTTCTATGAAAAACAGGCACAGTCAGATTGAAGCCATAGGGACTCTAAGGAAGAACTTGTGATTTCTAAGCACAGCTTTGCTAGTGACTCACTACAAGGCACAGCAAAGTCAGCAAATTTCTCTCCTCTTACCACCTACCGGTAGGGAGGCTGTGAGGTTAGTATCTGCAACAGGCTCAAATCTTAGAATTAAATAGCTAGTTTATAAAATGTTACTGTATTGCAAAGGAGGCCCCTACTCACAAATACTGACTGAATTTTGAGGGAAAACCAGTAAGTAGGAAAAGATGTTCAAGTTCAAGACAAACATACCACTTTCTCCAGTTTAAAAAAATAAATATCAAAATGCTCCACATCCCACTATTATTTGACACAACACTGGAAAGGCTAAACATAGCAATAAGACACAAGAATAAAAGTATAAACATTTGCAAAGAGAAAACAAAACTATCCCTATTTGCAGAAGATCTTAATGGCTTACTTAGAAAACTATGAATCATTAAAGAAACTGAGATGCTTAACAATAAAAATTATACTACATAAATGTATAAATATTATATTATCACATATAATTATAACTGGACAAAATAAAATTTTGGAGGAATATAATGAAAAAAAAAGTAGGAATGAAGGCTCAGAATTACCAGATCCCAACTCAACTATAATATAAAAAGAGTAATCATCAAAACCATTTGATACTAGCTAAAAAATTAAAAAGCTGATCATTGTTACAAGCTGGACAAGCAGCAATAACAGTAAACATTTATCGAGCACCTAGATAATGCAAATACAAAGACGAAAAGGAAATAGGCCCTGCCCTCAAGAGGCTTGTGAGACCTAAAAGCAAACTCATACCCCAATGTTCAATAAAGCCAAGGCCACGAACAACTATGCCCCAAATCACTTAAGGCTCCTTTCTTTTTCTTTTCCCCTCCCAAAGGGTTGAGGATTGACTAGTAATAAGTTTGTGATTAGGTCCAATGCTTTGTCAGTCACTTACACACAGGGAATGGGCACCATGCACTAAGCGCTGGGCCACAGGTTTATAAAGGCAAGGCTAGAAGGGTTATTTAAAATGGAAATGTTCCAAATTTATGAAAAAGCAAAATCCATGAGATGTTGCTTAACTCAATTTAAGCTACCAGGAAACAAATCTTCTTAGCACCTGCAATAACATTAAAGACAGACTTAGGAGAGACTTTGAGGAGGTGGCAGTTTAACATGAAACTACTTTGAACATTTTTAGACAGGACACCATGACCTTAACAGCAACCTTGGAAGAAATGACCAAGCAGCTGTCCTTGCTGGGCCATTGAATCCTTTCAGGTATAACCAATGGCTCTCTGAGACCTAATTTCTTCATTGTGGAAGTGCAAGAGTGTGCAAAGCACGTAGTTTTATGGAGGCCTGTGTGAAATCATTACTAATCCATAATTCCATAATTTGTAAGTCACAGAAAAGAGGCAGTGTAGTAGAGTCAAAATGGAATTAGTCAAAAAACCTGGACTGATGTCCTAACATTTCCGAGCTATGTGACCAGGCAAGTCACTTCACCCTTGAGCCTCAATTTCTTCACCTCTAAAATGGGGATAATAATTCTCTACTACCTATAGCACAAGAGTTAGCCTTTACTGCTCTGGCCAAGTGCCTCTGGCCTTGGCTGTAGTTCTGATGTGCTACCAAGGTGTAAACTGTACACAAGGTACAGTCCTTCTACACAGTTTTCACAATCTTCTAATGTCAAATGATTTATACACACATGAGGAGTAAAGAGAATACGATTTTAGGGGTGACATTCTTTACATCAGAAAATCTCCCAGCAAATAAAATGCATAGTGCATATGAGCACTTGAAAAAAGACCCTAACATTTTCCAGATAGCTCAAATGTTATTTATCCCTTCCAAAAGAAGTCTCTTGGAGAGAGAGACCCAGCTCAGTCATCAAATCTAAACAGAAACAGAATACTCTTTAAAATGTTCCCATTCATTCCTAGGGGACTGTCAATATGATCCTTTGACGGTGCTGAGACGGACCAGAGAGCAAACCCAAGGAGCTCACCCCATGAAGCTCTTCAAAACCTCTATATTCTGCATGAGCAGATATTACAGGATGCTAGACTCTACAGGCACTTACTAGTTTGGTGCTTCCATTGGCTAGAGATTATAGGTGTCACATAACTGACAAGTATTCCATGTTTGATAATCACAAACCACTGGCCTTATGAGAACCTTGAAATTTTAGGAGGTAGTGAGAAGGAAGACAAAGTCAACAGAGAAGGAAAGTGACTGGTCCGTGCCAGTTCGATTAGCCAAACTGTGGGGAATGGGAAGTAATTCTGTAAAAGTTGGTAGGTGCCTTTTACTTGTCAGTGAATTGAAACCTTAAAATGACTAAGCAGAGTTTCACAGTCATCAAATATGCCCTAAAGACCACTGATTAAGCCAGTGACAGCTGAGGAGAGAGAAGAAATGAAGAGCTGCAAGTTCAGTGCACTGGCCACCAGCAACACAAACAGATCAGGTGATTCATGCAATAAGAGATATTCCACCGGAATGTCTGCAATAGGACTGAGTCTGGGAATCCATTGAGGTGCTGTGTGACGTTCTCTTCTCTTTCATGTTAGTGTGTGTGTGAAGGGAGAACAAATAATAATTGTTGTATAGCACCTCAAATCCCTTTGAAAACAACTTCTGTCTGTACACAGTTGAAGGTAAAGAGGACAAAGCTGGGGAAGCCAGGAAGGCTTGAATGTCCCCAAGCATCTTTTGATGTCCTTCACTCACCAGATAGGAAAGGAAGGCTAATAAAGGATACTGCAAAGCACCAGGGCCCCGGCACTCATGATGGCTAGCTATGTGCAGTAAAAATGGGAGTCTCCAAGCATAAGCAACTCTGGGGGGGGGGGGGGGGGCAGACATCAGGCCGTGGGTGGGAGCGCTACAAGGCCAATCTTGGAGAGAACAGCAAGTGTCTTTTGTGAGCTCTGTAACTTTCAGAGGGTGCTCCCCTTCAGCCCAAAGAGATGGCAAAAACTCTAGCTGAGGGCTGCCTCCTGCAATTAATGGATGCACTTGCATGCACGGCCCCACCCCCACACCCTACTCCTCATTCCCCACTGGCACTCGCACATTCTCCCTCTCACCACCACCCAGTAACCTCTGCTCCTCTGAGGTTCGGCCACTCGATCCATACTTACCAGTGAATCCAAAGTCTCATAGCTGTTGTCTCCCACCCCCCAAGTCACAGCCCTTCCTTCTCTGGTGTCTGGCTCCCTGTGTCTCTCTCCCCTCTTCCACTGCTGCCTTCATACTAGGACACTTCAACATATATATACTGACTCCCTCAAACACTCAGTTCCTCAATTCATTCATTTCCCAAGACCCCCTCTTCCACCTCACCACAGCTACACACAGAAATGGTCATACCCTGGATGCTAGCATCGCCCACAAGTGTTCCACATCCATGTTCATAAACTTTGAAATTCCTTTATTTGATCATAATCTGTTGTCATTCCACCCCTCCCTCTGCCTTATAACCCCCAACTCTGTTCTTCCTCCAAACTCCCCACCTGTCAGTTCTTTCCCCAGTCATCACCTGTCAACTGGCTGTACTCTCCTCCCTTCCCTATCTTGACCCCTTTGGGGAGCAGCTCAATTCTACACTCTCCTCTTCTCTGGAGACACTTGATGGCTTATCCTGCCAAGTCCCAGCCCTTGCTTACTCTCACTATCCCCTGCTTTTGTTCCTGCTCACCTGCTGTTTAATCAAACTGGAAAAAAAATCAAAACATAGTAATGACTGGACCCCGTACAAATTTATGTTACATAATCTCAGGTGGGCCTTCAGAGCAGCAAGGCAATCCTTTAACATATTTCCTAATCCTGGCCCACTCATCTCTCACCACTCTCTAAGCTTGTATGACCCTAACCCTCTCCTGGTTGTCCCCCCTACTTGCCTGTTCATGCTCCTTCCTAGTTTCCTTTGCTGGATCTTCGGCCAAGTCATGCCCAATAATTATGGGCCTATAACTATCCCTAAGCATCTTTCCTGGATCCTCTTCTCCCTCTAAACTAATTCTCTTAGCAATTTCATCAACTCTTTTATTGTTCAGTCATTCCAGTCGT